GCTTATATTATTATCACCATCAGTTTTTCTTCAGCCGTGTCATTCGAAGTTAATTCTCAACCAACATACTTAGATCCATACTAATAATTATTGCTTAAAATATCTTCAAATGGGACACGCAGATTTGAATACAAATTTAGATAAGAGTTTTTCAGATGAATATATAAATGTCGAATTATGAATTATATATAAATTATATATAAATGTCACATATATAGTGTGTTCAACTGAAAATGCTTTAGATTTAACTCGGAATAAAGATTGGAGTGCCTCACATGAGACAAGTTTCAAGTGACAACTATTAATACAGGCCTCGACGTTTATCTCACGTGAGACACGCAGATCTGAATTCAGAATTAGATCCAAGTTTTCCAGTTGAATCATAATATATATGACACTTATAAATTCATAATCACACGATTAAGCTGAAAAACTCGCATCTAACTTTGAATTCAAATCCGAAAGTTTCGCTCGAAACGGATTTCGCGTATAACGACTGTTCATACGGGCCTGAAATTACATGACTCATTAACGAGAACGGGAAAAATCGGTCACGCGCGCGCACAGACAGATTTAAACATTTACTTTGGACCGGGAACAGCTCCTAGTAAATAACGGGATAGCACGTGGTAGTTGCACTGCGCTTGATACAGTCATGTTTCCTCGGTCGCTAGTTGGATTATACGTATCTGGTGTGTCGGAGTATGGATTTGCCACGCGTTGATTAATTCTCGACTGTTCAAGCCGCCCTTCGAATTGAATCCACGCAATCTTGCCTCTTTAAACGTAACATGATAGCACCGTTTAGAATTCCGCGCTGATACTTGTCGGAGAGATCGTGCCGTGCGGTAAGTGGGGGAAATATTAATAAAAACTCGCGGAATGAAAGCGCGCAGGTGTACTACATATGTAGGATAAACGGTTAACACGTATATAAAATAGATCCAGGCGGTTCATCCGCGGATCCCAGCGTGTACGACAGATTTCATCAACTTTATCGCAAATCGTGAAAAATACGGAACGCGATTCGCTCCGCCGAAATGTTTTCCACACATATGTTGCGCGATACATATGTATATAGATTTAGATCGAAGGTCCGTCTACTCGTGGAAAATGAAAAAAGCAATGAGACGAGCCTTTGCTTTAGCGTTGATATGCGTGAAACACAAACACGCGCGCGAGAGAGTGAGAGAGAGAGGCTGTAGGCCCCGGACAAGTGGAAGACGCGGGAGCGAGAGGGAGTCTGATCCGCCTCTAAATCGAGTTACGCGGCCTGCTGGAGATAATGATATTTATGCGCGTCAAGTGTATGATGTGTGGTCGACCACACATGAATTACGAGTAGGCCGCGAGGATAGAGGAGTAAAAAGCGCGTGGCAAGTTCGAACGTCCCGGGGATGTCCCGGGAGGACCGTCTTATCCGGAAGGGCACGCGCGCGAGCTCTTCTACGCAAAGCTATCTTTTCGCGATTTCCAAAGTTTCGCACATGTTTAACGTTACCACGGCTGATTCACGAGAACTCGAAGCGCGCCGTGATTTAGGCACGCGAAACGGGGAGTCCGCGACGATCTGACACCTGTAAAATCCTGTAACATCATGACACATCCTGTAAAATCCGTACGTCTCTGTCTCTGCGATCTAATCGAGTCACTCGAATCGACGCGACTTTGCCAAAGTGTTTAATCCACGGGCTGTTTCGATCTCTCGCTCTTTATGTTCGCTCGGTATTAGCAGCTATGGTCTAGCAACATCCGCATACGCAAAGTATACCAATTACTCGATTCATACGCTAAGAAAGGAAGGCAAATATCGTATCTATTGAGTAAATCAGTTGCATTGACACGGTCACTGACCGAATCGCAATCACTGAATCAATCGATAACTCATCACAGCAGCTGTAGCAATTTGTTCAACGACTGAACGTTTACTTCGACGAATTTTATTCGTTCAAGCAAAGTCCCATTGACCCAACCACTTTTTTTTCTCAGTATAGACGCGCTATTCGTCGGAGAAGGAAGGTTACACTTGTTTGCGCGGAAGGATTCGAACACATTTCTTACAATAAAATTTGAAGCGTATCACAATTGTGAGCAGCTGCTTATGAACTTGCGTGTAGTGAGGTGGAAGCACCAATCCCCGAACACATCTACTTAATCCTAAACATTCGTATTGCTTTGGTATTTAAATACGAATATTCAAACTTCCGATATAATATATGTATATTCATATAATATTACTTATAATAATTATTATTATCATTTATAATATATATAATATTAATTGTATATAATATCAATGTATATTTATATGATATTATTTATAATAACAATTAATATCATTTATGACATGTAATATCAATATATTTCATTTCGAACGTTTAATATTCGTATTTAAAGACTAAAACTATATGAATATTCAGATTTAGGTTCCATCTTAATCGGTTTGGACAGAAGCCGAAGCACCAGATGAAAATTTCTCCGTTTTACTACTCTTATCTGACAGATAAAAATATCATAGAAATACTCCCATTTTTCTTGGATCTTTCGTTGCAATTATGACGTCGGATGTCTCACTTCAGCTCATGTCATAACGGATTATCCGACAAGCTCGTGAATAATAATAATATACGAGACATCTCGATGATGTTACAACTGCGACGAACGATTCAGGAAAAACGCAAGTATCTTTATTACATCCTTATGCATCGGGTAAAAGTATAATAAAAGTCCATACCTACATAGCGCACCGTCACTTCGCTTCCTCTCTGAACCGCGCAAACGCGTCAGTACTGTCTCTCAACTTCGTGACAACTTGCACAACTTCGTTGGGAAAAAATACGCGCGAGTCGTTTTGCAAACGAGTGTGCACACGGGCTAGTCGTGAAAATGAGACAGCTGATCGACGAAAGCAGTGGAGCGCGCAACGACGCAATGGCCGATTTTAAGATCCCATATATAAGTTTCAGCAAATAATTAAAAGATATGGTAAAATTCAATTATTTGCAACACAGTATCGTGCCAGAGGAATTTGCGAAAATAATAACAAGCAGCGACTTAGCAGCTCGTAATCTGCCATTGATGATAACGGCAACGCAGTGGCGGGCCCGCACGATGATCGCGCTGCGCTTTTGAGCGAGCGCGCGCGCGCGCGCGCGCGCGAGAGAGAGAGAGAGCGTAAATATTTATCGTGGATAATCCGAGTATACAGGCGTCTATTACAGCCGCCCTTCGTCGTCGCTGCCCCTCGGGCCGGCGGGTTTGACCCCGAGGGACATTCCTGGCGTGACACGTAAGGTCTCTCTCTCTTGCCGCGCACGGCTCCGCTCCGGCTCGCCGTCGCCGTCGCAGCAGCCACCGCTACCGCCGCCACCGTCGCCGCCGCCGCGCCGTCCGAGAGAGCGTGGAAAAGCCGCGCGGGATTTTGAGCCACGAAGTTTTCGCATTGTCATTTGGGACGTAACGCAAAAGCGAGAGGGAAGAAAGCTGGTAGAGCGAGCGAGAGCGGAGGGATGGAATTGCACGAGCGTGAGACGTGCCGGCGTTGCGAGGGTTGGAAGGGACGGTGAGACAGGGACAGAGCGACAAGGGGAGGGAGAGGCAAAGAGGGAGAGAGGAAGAGGGTGAGATAGAGGCCGAGATGTGTAGGAGACGAGAGCAGATTGGAGTGGAAGGGTAGCGGACGAAAATGGAGAGAGAAAGAGCGATAAACGGAGCAAACGGCGAACAGGGAAGGGACGTGTAACGAAAGAGCAACGAAGACGGCCGGAGACGATGCGCGGTTGGAGAGAGGGAAGGAGGGAGAAAGTTCAGGTGGAGGAAGGAGACGATGGTTTATTAATAATGTGGAATAATGTTTCCGAACTTTATTAACTGCGCGAGCTCGCGAGAAAGAGAGAGAGAGAGGGAGAAAGGGAGGGAGGGACGAAGAGAGAGAGAGAGAGAGAGAGAGAGAGAGAGAGAGTTTGGGTTAAACTCAAATTTATCCGTGAGTTAACTTTTTGCAAGCACGTCCTATATAATATGACAGATGATTTCGAGTGAAATAATATAATAAACGTGAACGAATGACAATTGAAATAAACTGTTTGACGCGCGATCAAGTCGAAAAGTCAGGAATGGAGCGCCACCCGATGTGCGATTGTACATATATACATGTACATATCGTATTGATAGTTCTTCGATATCGATATTTCGTGAGTCGCCGGTAAGTTCGAATGACATGACATAATATGATATCGAAGCCGTATGATGTTTTTACACCAACGAAGTGGAGTAACGGTCGCTTCGGTCAATCGTCGAGATAATGAAAGCAACGGGCGCACGGGATTTCGTTGCATGAGCCGCGGGGCTGCGCGAAGTCGCGAGCAGCAATCGTAGTGTCACTCGCGACAAAGTTACAGAGAGAGGGAAGAAAACAAATACACGCTCGAGCAGCGAAGCTGATAATTGGGATAATAGCGCCGATCTCGCGGACTCCACGGGGGACGAGATTCGCGGCGGGAAGCGTGCCGCTCGCAGTCTGCGAAATCTATAAATGAGAAATAATAAGCGCCTGTTAAATTAGCACGAGTAAAAATAATGAAAGTGAGAATAGAGCGCGGCATGGGCGGCGGTTGTGACGCGGAACAGCCGGCGGTAGCTATGATAATGAAAGTCATCTTAACAAATGTCAGTTGCAAAAAAGGAGCAGTAGCACGAGGAAGAGAGTGAGCGAGCGAGCGAACGTGAGAGACAGAAAAAGAGAGAAAGAGTGAGAGAGAAAGAGGAGAGAAGGGGGGTTGAAAGGGAGAAAGAGGGAGAGCGAGAGAAAGAGACAGCCTGTGCACTCGGAGAGACAAGCGGAGGGAGATAGATGGTCGACTCTCGCACACAGAGGGTGCGGGAAGGGCGAAGGGGCGAGAATGCACGGCCACCCCCTGGTACTTTCCCTCTGCCTCCACCGCCTCCGCCACCCTACAATCCCACCCTCGCTCTCGAGGGCGAGAAAGGACGCGAGGGGGATGCTAGGTCCTCGGTGGACCACCAGGATCCACATCCCCACGACGACGTCTCGCGCACAGGGGTTGCTGCGGCAGTGGGGGACCGTCAGGGGAATGTTAGAGGGGTGGGGGGGCTATATAAGGCCGACGCGAGGGGGGGAGAGCTCAGTTCGTCCAACAGGAGCGTATCGGTTGCGTCGTATCGAGCACGTCGTATTGCACACGGGCATCCGGCGGCGAAGGAGCGCGTCTTGCGCTCCTCGGGCCGCACTCGCAAGGCGCTTGCCGTCTCGTCACCGGCAGAGAAACAAGGAGTCGTTGGGCGAAATCGGAGAGAACGTTGTTTCGCGACAGAGGGAACAAACTGCGGATCTCGGAGGCGGACGAGAACGATGCGTAAGTACCATGCATAAGCTCCTTTCGCGTCGTCTTTGTGCGTAGAACGAGATTTCGAATAAGAAAGAGAGAGAGAAAGAGGCAGGGAGGGCGGGTGAGAAAAAGATAGAGAATGGATCACTATCGACTAAGGACGGGCGGACGTACTTTCGCTTTCTCGCCAAGATTGCTCCGGGATTGTCGCAAAGTCTCCTCTTCGGGGTGGGCGAGCGTTTGTTATCGAACGCGATCGCACCAGGGTCGTGTTGGACCGCTGGACCGTGCAAGTTTGTGTTCGCGCGTTCTTGTCGGGGCTTGTGACGTTAGTTAGCCGGTGCGCGTTAGGCGTTAGTCTGAGCACCGGGTCCCGCTCTCACACCCTTCGTCACGAAATTTCCCAGTGGCGGCGCGTCGTGTCGACAGGGATTTTCTTCCAACGCGGAACAAACTCTTCGTGCCTCACTTTCTCTCTCGCTCTCGCGTCCCTGTTATCCGATTCTCTCTGTATTTCTCCCTCCCTCCCTTTCTCCGTCTATCTGTCTCTGCTCCATCAGTTAACTGCGTCTCTATGTCTATCGCGCTCTCGCCCCACCCCCGCTGCCTCGTCTCCGCGTTCTACCCTCCGTTACAATTTAGTCATATTTCAGCACAATCGAATTGTGTTCGTCGACACGATACCCGTCTCTCTTTTGTCGCGCGACTCAGCCTCTCTCTCAGCTAAATCTGCTCCGACGTATGTTGAAATTTTCCCTCCCCCTCTCTTCCCTTCCGATTAGTCATTCCTTGTCTTGCTTCATAGTTTTATCGCGGTCGATTTTACTGCGGATTTCTCTCGTCCGAGAGAGATTTTCTCCCCGGCGTCACCCTCTCTCGCGCTCTCCCTGTCCGCCACCGGCGCGACTGTGGCCGGCTCGATTGGATGCACGGCTTTTCGCGAGACGGCCGAGATTACTCGCGAAATTCGATTTCATTGGGAAACCGCCGCGCCGCGGGGGAGTCGCGCCGGCATGGCAGCCGCCCTCCACGTTTACGTCGGTACAGATTAATTAAGCGATCGATGCTTCTGGAGCACGTGAAATTTGCATTAGTCGACGAGCGAGAGGCGCGTTTGATCCGTGATAGGGGGACGTAGGATCAAGAGGGTTATCCAGGGAGGAGGATGAGAGGAGGTGGAGGGGGTCAGCAGCAGCAAAGGGGAGGGAGAGATGCTCGCATATTTCGAACTTCGTCCTAATTTTCTTCTTCGCTGACGAGCTCTCACGCGTAATTGTGCAATTGACCATAAGGAAAAATGGCCAATCAATTGTGTATGAATCGCAGCTTTATGCGAGATCACGAAAATCGAAGGATGAAGATCCACAAAAAAAAGAACTGCCGAGTAATTTCAGCGCGATTCGGCCTTCGCGAGGATGGATCAATTCGCAATTTCGGCTGTAAGTGCTGCTTGCTCTCGCTCTCAAGCTCTTTTCGCGCAGCCACTCTGCGATTCTAGCCGTCGCGGATTCGACGATAAAACTCGATCTGTCGGTAAAACGAACGTCCGGACGAAACAATATTCGTTTGACTATCCGGCAAGGTAAGACACATCATTCTGATTCTCGACTGACTAAGATCAATGGCAATTGATGGCTAATGAGTCCGTTAACAGTCCATTACAAATGCACGAGTCTACTCTGCAAGCTGACACTCTCTTCATGTGAATCAGTAAGGATATTTCTGACCGAATCAATAAAGGGAGCATCCCGCCGACAATCGGTGAGCATTCACTGACTCTCAGCGGTGATATTTCCACTTTACTGCTCCATCTTATATCTCACCGATTTTGACAATGGAAGTGAGATTTCACTGCAAAATCTATACAATACGCATTCGTTATTTCCTATGTCAAATCGTACTCTCTGCGTCTGAATCGCTTCTATGCGATTCGAGTGCAACGACACTGTCTGCGTTTGCAAACTGCATCAATGGTAGGAACAGTCGACTGCTATCGACTGATTCTCTCAGCAAGATTTTACTGATTGCTTTAGCTGAATCACCAGTTCCAAGCAGGATAAATTCGGGATAATAGCTGTACGGGAAACATGGCCATAGGCTATAATTTATCCAATAATTGCTAAAATAGCGTGCTCTTGTAGACATTCTCAATGATAATCGATATTTGTAGTAGTTTATGTGCGTACATTCAGATGCTGAAATGTACTATTTAGCAATTATTGGAGAAAGTACAGCTTATGACCATTTTTCTGTATGTCCATCATCTGAGTTTAGCTTTATAGCAATTTTGTGAAGAATACAAGTTTTTATATCGAGTGTAGCATCAGATAATAATTAAAATCAATTTGTAAGATCCACCTCGGGGGAATGCATGCATTCGGCGGATAATCGGGAACGCGTCACATTTTGCATTCTTTCAGCGCGGGAGTCGCGAGAACGCGAGAAGCACACATATACATATATACATATATACATACATACATACATACACATACACACATACATAACACGCAATGTGGAACGTCACGAGCGCGAGATAGAATTAACAGCGGTGAGATTAACGATTATGCTCTTAATCGAGTTAAATACCCGTGCGGCGGCCCTTTGTGAGAGATCCTTTATGCGCATTGTGCGCACAGTTCTCTCCGACGGATAAACTTGAGTGAACACAATCGTGCTCGCGTCGCGAGCAAAACGAAATCGAGTCATCGCTTTGAAGATTACGTCTCGGCGGGTTTCGCGTCAAAAACGCGCGCGCACGTTGTCTCCTATATTTCGCAAATGGATAGCTCGCCGCGTGTTTATTTTTCACATGCGCTCTTTGATCTAAGGTATGGAAATCTACATAGTAAAATAGAGTACATCATATCGCCACCGGTTTGCGCCGCGCGACGTCACGCTGCGTGACGTGCTTTTGTCATTATCGGGAAGTATAACGCGCAGAGAGTTGCCCTGGAAACAGTAGTAAAGAGAGCGAGGGAGAGATGTACGACATACAGAAAAAAAGAGGGAGAGAGAGAGAGAGAGAGTATCCATACCCCATAAAAGAGTGCCCTTTGAATTAAATCCCTGGTTGTTCAAACTGCCCAGCTCGTTTCCGTCGAGAATGCGAGCTTTCTCGGGAGTCGATTGTCGAACGTTCGAAAAAATTCACGCATTACATTCAACCCCGCGCGAAATTTCACACGCGCGTGCCAGTTATTTGTTTATCGCGCGGCTGTGTGTACGTGTGTCGAGAGAAAAAAGCACAGGATAATAATTCGGCACACCCGAGACGCGGTTTCGGACGACGGGATGCGCGGCGCGACGCACCGGCCGAAGTTCCGCGTTAAGTACTCGCGCGCGCGGCACACGTTACACCCCGTTAAATTAATTCAGACCAGTTTGGAGCTGGAAGTTTTCTGGCCGTCGCCGAATGCGCCGCGCGCAGCAAATCGCATTTACATGATATTTTCCGGCGTAATTTACATGTTTGAGTCCGGTCGCGGGATTCCACCACTACCCCGCTACCACCAACGCTATCCACCACCCACCGCCGCCGCCACCATTACTGCCGTTCCTGCTCTTTCCCCACCTGCCCCTCCGCCGTCCCGCTCCTTCACTCCGGCTCCGCCGCCCCTTATTATTTTTATTTACACGCTCTTTTGGCCGGTGGCACGCTCGCGAATTTCTGGTCGCGTTCTCGCGCAGGCGAGGGCTGCCTTTAACGGAAGTATCTCGTCGTCGGAGGTCACGTTAATCCTGTTAACCTATCAACACACTCAAAAGCCTTTTACATCCGCGCGAAGATATCTTCGTTCGCGATCCCATTAAATCCCGTCATTCTGCGGCGGCGGCGGCGCCGGCGACGGCGGCGTCCGTGGAATACGCTGACTTTAACGACGAGGAGATAATCTTCCACCGGCTAACATAATGTACCCTTCCGCTGATTTAAGCAAACTTTAGTCGAGTACAAGTTCGAGTTGGGGCAACACCAGAACGATCGCGATCGTCTTCTCCCGTGTATATTTCGTCGTCGTTACGCTCGAAATCATAACGTCAAAGACTCTTCCGCACTGAGCGGAGAAATGTCTAAGAAATAAGAAATATTTACTCAGTGGATACTAATAACATACACTTGAACTAATATAAAATATTCTTCAAGTGGGAAAGTATACATTTTCTTAAAACTTCAGCTTTTCATTAAAGCTATTGTTTATTTTATTCAATTTGAAGAATTGAATTTTAGGTAAATATGTTATCAGTATTTATTGAATAAGTGTTATTGATTTTTTTTAGTAATTTTTCTCCTCAGTGTGAAGAACTAAAATACTTGCATCTACTCTCTAAGATACAACGTATACAATGTATTTTTCATTTAAATGTTACAATTGGTATTGTTCAGTTATAGTATAGCACTGTAATTAATAAGATATGAAAAGAACCAGTCAATAGTAGCGGTTGTTCCTATTATTGATGCAATTCGCGAGCGCAGATAGTGTCATTGCACGCAAATCGCATAGAAGCCGTTAATTCCATCGCCGCAAACGCAGAAAGTTGGATTTGGCATAGCGCGCGCGAATTTGTGTACTGCGGATTTCGCAGTGAAATCTTACTTTTACTGGTCAAAATCGGCACTTAAAGAAATGGACTTGCAATTATAGTGGAAATTATTCAAATACGAGAAATTAGTCAAGATGGATAAATGACTATCGAACACCGCGATATCGCATATATTTTGTGTTTAAGCAATATAGATGACAAAGACAGAATTTCTATCTGAACTGTTTATAAAATTTAGCAAGAAAGCTAAATCTTTCTATAACGTCCATTAAAGTCAGCCACATTTCTTATAAAAGTAGACTGTAGTAGACAGTGACGAGAGAAACAAACGGATGTATGTATAATCCTCGCATCCATGTAAAATTATTCGCAGATATTATTAGAATGCTGCTGCTGGAAATTCTACGTATCACAATTTTCTAGCAAATATAAAAAAACAGCGATACATTTTAACTCTGACATTTATAATTCTACCTGGACCAGCA